TTTGGCTATTCTATCCATTCGAATGGTATTTGTTCGCTTTCTTCCACGGTTTTTCAGGTTTTGGTTGTCATTTTAAAGCATTTGTGATCATTTTAGCTGAGCAGCCTATAATTTTTTGCATTTCTTTTTGTTTTCCCCTCTCCAATCAACTTTTTAATCAAGGTACACTGTTCTTCTGAACAATGTCTGGAACGACCCATTTTCCTCAGAATTTCAGAGAGAAATGCACTGTAACCAGCATGTACAACATTTGCTGCCTTCCTTCCTTAAATAAGGGCAATAATTGCCACCTGTTTTTCAAAGAATGAATGACCTCACTAATAGAACTCCACACTGCTATTATTTTGAACATGCCCCTTTCAATTAGTGATTCAATTACACAGAATCAGCAGCATGCATGTCAAGACTGTTGGGTCTGGTGGATTTCTATTACTCTACTACACCTGCTAGTAAATTATTTGCCACGTAGAAATATCATTTCTACCAAAAACAGTGATTGATCAGGTTAGTGATGTCTGACTGCTATTATTTTGAACACAACTGTATACGTGATTTTTGTGCACCCCTGTCGCCCTGCAGCAGTATTTCTGCTATAGGGTGGATGGGAAGCTTTTAACCAAGAAAAGCGATGGTAGCTGTCCAACAGGATAAAATAATTTCTATCCGTACTCTTATAGAAAGTAGAGGTTATCCATCAAATCAAGAAAGTGAATCTCATTCTGGCTCTTCCATGAATGACTAAAAGAGGAAAGTCACCTTTCCAAAGGAGGAGGATGTAATCTATACAACGTGCCCACAGCACCAATTCAGGTCTCTATTGGGCATAGATGACATCCTCTTCCTATTTGGCCATAAATAAATTAGCCAAACTGGGGGCATATTTGACCCCCATTGCAACACCCTTATTTCGAAGAAAATATTGTCCATCAAACCAAAAATGAGTAGCCACAAACTCAACTAACTCCATAATACAATAACTTTGTACCCAAATATGATTTCTAATGCAAAAAGTATTGTTTCAAACTCCAAAGCATGGGGAATGATGGCGGATAGAGCTGTTACGAACGCAGTAACTATCCACACACTGCTGTCAATCCACCAAATTAAGATTAATAATGGGTCAAGTATCTTAAGAAAGAGGGAATCTGGGACACCAAAGAATGCAGATAATGGTCAATATATTTGCCCACCCAGGATGAAACTGAATCAATTCCACTAATAATCGGACTTCCTGGGGGGTTTACAGGATCCGTGTGAACCTTCAGCAAGTAGTGAATCACAGGTGTATATGAAGCCAAAAGGGACTAAAAAAACTTTTTAAATTTAATATGCCTTAGCTATATCCCATATTTACTAATTTCTGTAGTAATTTTTTTAAGGAAACCCCCAGGTTATTTTTCAGCAATATATAGATTTTCCTGTCACTCAAAATACGGTTTATTTTTAACATATATTCCTGCTTATCGAGAACCATGATGTTCCTGGCTTTATCAGCAGGCTTAACTACAAAGTCTTTGTGGTTACATAATTTCTGAATGCCATTGCAGTTTTGGTTTTGATAACTTTAGGTTCTCCAAATCTCTGAGGACTAAATACCAAAATAACAATGACAGGTTAATGGAACAAAGAGTCATATAAATTAGAATGCTAAATATCAGTAGTAATTCTGTTTTCAGTCTTTTACCGTATTGCTAATCAAATATCATTTAACATTCAATTTACCAGTGTACTTTTGGATATCGATGAATGTCTGGAATTTATTTAATTTTGAAGGAGGTGCAAATTTCAACCCTTTTATCTAAAATAAACCCTTCTGTGGTTAGGTCAGTTTTACTTACCTGTACCCACTATATCCTTTTTTTTTTTTTTGCCTGTATTTACCTCCTCCCTCTTTCCTTCTTTCAGTTTACATTTTTTTATTTCACTCTTTGGCTGGCCCAGTACGTTACAACATCTTGGTAAACATTCCACCTAATGGTGGGACAGGAACAAACTATACACAACATACAATCATTGGTAACCACCATGTCGTACAAAACAGTGTCACACTGCAGCTCACTCGAAGTAATGGGTAATTGCATAGTGTAAGTGCCAGACCTTGTTTAAACGCCCTGCCGCCCCTCCAGAGCTTTAACCCGGGTCCTGTCCATGCAGGTTTAGGCTTCTAGAGCGAATTGTTAAAGCAAATAATAGAAGATAGAAACGGGGGAAGAATGAGCAGAAATAAGAGAGAGAAAGGGGGTTGGGGGAAATGGTTGTAGGAGGAGTGGGAACTGAAGTCCTGTTAACCTGCCAAGGGACAGCCTAGTCAGCCTCCACTGGGCCTGAACCTCTAGCAGAGCATAGTCTTGTGTGCATTGGAAGTCGTACTAATAAAACCATGTTTTGCTGAACAGTTCCTCTTTCAGTTTTATGGCCACTGTCAGTTGCTCCATTTCGTTAATCTCCTAAGTGGATCAGGGCCTCCTGTACCTATGTCTGGATTAGGGGATGAGGAAAACTTCAGGATGCATGTCTAGAGAGAAATCGGTAAGTTAGTAGATCATCCGTTCAATATCTTTCAAGAAGGATTGTAGAGCAGGGCATGTTCAAAAAATGTGCAACACAGTTGCCAGTCTCTTGTTGGCAATGCAATGGTGAGACAGATGGGAAGATTTTGTGAAGGATCGCCGGGGTCCTATACCATCTGGTCAGCAGTTTGTAGCCTGACTCTTAGAATCGGCTGGACAAGGAAGACCAGTGCGCAAAATAGAGAACCCAAGCTGTCTGTGCTGGAGTTTTAGCTATGTCCCTTTCCTGTTTCTGTATAAAAGGGGGAACATAGTCTTCCAGAGGTTTAGAAATCAAAGCATAGGACATTGTGAGCGTGTGACATAAGGGGGAGGTTTGTGAGCAGAGTTGCTCAGATTGAGAAATCCTGCCCAAGTTCACCTTGTTAAGTTTGATGGTAGAAAGTGGCATATTTGCATAGCTTTCTATCGGTCTAGAGGGGAGAAAGCATCTCTTGGATCTCAGAGACGGACCGCCATCTGCTTCCCATCACAAATTTCCGAATGCAAAATTGATTGGTTGATAGGCCCAAAATCTCGTGCTCTCCACTCCTGTGGGGGGGGGGGGGGATTACTGAACCCCTATGATCGGGGACATTAAGAATAACAACTGTGCAGCAGACCTTAAGCAGCCCACTTTGGCCAGAGTCGCCACCGTGGTCCCTATGGTCGGATGCAGTTTGACCTCTGGAGGAAGAGGCAGTGTTTGCCACGGGAGCGTTTGTAAAGGGAGTGGTGACAAAAATTGCTCCAGGTCCACCCATCCCCTTTCGGGCCTATGTTTGATCCAGTCTAACGTACGGGACATATGTTCTGCATAGAAGTATTTGAAGAGATTTGGAAACCCTAGGCCCCCTGTTCTTTGGGAAAGCCAGAAGTCGATGGGAAATGTGCTTCGTTTTGTGGCCCCCAAAGGAATGTCAAGAATTCCTTTGATTGCTTAGAGAAAATATCTAGGGAGTGCAACCTGAAGGGTTTGTAGTAGGCAGGGGCATATTTGCCACGAGGCAAACAAGGGGTTTGCCTAGGGCGGCACTTTTCAGGATGGCGGCACTTCCGTGGGAAAGGAACAGGCTGCTGTGTCTTGTCTGTCTCCGCGACTCCATGTCCCACTTCGATCCGGTTCAAGAGTTGCTGCTGGTGGCGAGGGTGTCCGTCCGGTGTCTTCATTTTCCTGGATTTTGATTGTAATGGTGACAGAATGACATGCCAACCCTCTCATCTGGCCACACCCCCAAGATCACTGGGCAGCCTATCCCTCCCTCTGCAAGCTCCACCTCCTCGGCGGTGATTGGCCGCTGGATCTGTAGCTCAGCAAAGGCACACAGGCGGCCAATCACCTTGTTAATAAGACCCCATAAAAATAAGATCTAATGCGCCTAATATTATTTTTATAGATAAAAATAATAAAAAATGATTTTTATCTAAAAGGTGACCTTATCATTTAAGAAATAGCCTACCTAACTGGTTGTAGAGCCTTTCAGTTTCTCTTTCAATACATTTTTATTTAAAAGTTTTAAGAAATACAGTGTGTGACTGCAATCAGATTTAGAGATGAAACTGTATCAAGTTAGTAACAATTTTACATTAAGTAAATAAGGAAATCATAGCAAATGACAAAATGTTTAGCATTTCAAAAGGCACATTAAGCATGCCATAACAGAGGAACAATGTAGATAAAAGGAAATTGAGTCTGTGCGCCTATACCAGAAAAACAGGCACTAGTGCATAAGATACTTACAGTGCTCAGCATAAAAGAGTACACCCCAACAGATTTGTCAGAAAACCTTTTACTTTCCTTTCAGAATCAACATTTTCTATGGGACACTATACTACAAAATATGCCCAAAAAAATTCAGACCATGTTGTCATTTAAGACCATTGACCATGAGGGTAATGAACGTCTTAGGAGCAAAAGCTAAATTCTAGACAACAAAATCCTAATTAACAAGAATTCAACTACAGGTGAGTCTAATTATTAATTAAACAGGTGTCCAGCAGACAGTTGATTATAAAAGGGCATTACTTTACAAAGAAAACCCCTTCCCATTTCTTGCTGTCAGCAATGGCACCACATGGTAGAGAAATGTCATAAGGCCTGAGAAAGAAAATAATTTCTTTCAACAAGGTGAAGGCTACAAGATCAGCAAAGCTTTATCAGTCAGAATACTGTAGCAAGAGTGATACAAAGACGGAACTGCAACCATCTCACAGAGACATCCAGAACAGTTAACACCTCGACAAGATCATCTTCTGGTAAGGGTTGAAGAAAATTGCCATGCAAGTTCACAGCAGTTAGCTAAAGAAGTAGAAAGCCAAACTAGGGTGATTGTTTCCTATGTCACAATACTGTGTACACTGCAGAGGAATGTCATGCATGGGTGTCATCCAGGAAGGAAGCCTTTCCTAAGGCCCATGTATAAAAAAAAAGCCCACCTAGAATTTTCCAGGGCCCATGCTGAAAAAGAAGAAAACTACTGGGATTCTGTACTCTGAAGTGATGAGACCAAGATAAATGTTTTTGGAACTTATGGCTTCAAAACTATGGTGTCGCAAAGGTAAGGAGTACAAAGTAAAATGCATGGTGCCTATAGTGAAACTAGGTAGTGGCAGTGTCCTTCGGTGGGGCTGCATGAGTGTTGCTGGAGTCGGGGAGCTGCACTTCATTGACGGCATCATGAATTCACAGATGTACTGCTCAATATTAAAATAGAAGATGCTACCACACTCCGTGCCCTTGGTTGTTGTGCACTTTTCCAACATGAGAATGATCCAAAATGCACTTCTAAGGCCAATGTTGCGTTTCTGAAAAAGAACAGGGTGAAAGTGATTCAACGGCAAAGTATGTCTCCTGATCTGAACCCAATCGAGCACCAATGGGGAATTCTGAAGTCGAGCATCACTCTCCATCCAGCATCCAGGCTCTAAAAGAGGTTGTTTTGAAGAAAGAAATACTAGATGTAGTGGTTTTTATTGTGGGATGTATTCAACTAATTTGAGTAAAACTGAAGATTTTGTAATCTAAGTTTTATTATCAAGCTAAACAAATGTTCTATAAAACTCAGTTTTGTCAAAATTTTGGCAATTGTTCTTGTGTATATTGATTAAAATCTTACTTTTCAGAAGGGATGTGCTCATTTATGCTGAGCACTGCATATATTGAATTCACTGTACAAGGAACAATTAAATGTATAAGTAAAGATCATCCCTACAGAAGAGCAGAAGTATATAGGAAAAGGAGAGGAAATAGGGGCGGGGATAGAAAGTAGATAAGTGGAAGAGGACACTAGGAGCCCCCCAACCAAAGTCCTAGGGCCTCAGGGCTCATAGCGATGTGTAACTAGCAATTAGTATAGAAGGGTGAGCATATTGGATCCATGGGGTCCATATTTTAAGAATGCTCACGTGCATATCTATGAGTATACTGGAAAGCTTCTCATTAGTGAAAAAAAAAAAGCCTAAATCAGTGGTGGACCTCTCTAAAGGGGATAACACGTTGTTTTCAAGCTCATGCTATTGTTTTTTTTTTTGCAACAGTCAGTACATAAGTGTCCACTTTGAACTAAGGTTTAGTGAGGCCTGGGGTTTCAGGTGTAACAGGACATACTATGGATCTCTTGGGAAGGAGTAGGTCAATAATGATTGAAAACGATTAAGGACTTTTGTCCAAAACCAGGAGAGCATAGGGCATGTCCACCATGTGTGGAGGACATCTCCCAGAGTAGAGCAACCTCTAAAACAGGTTCCAGGAGCATATAGGTGGATACGTGCTGGACAGGACCAGGTACCACCTCGAGACAGTTTTAAAAGCCAATTTGACTGTAAGGATAATAATGGAGCAGGAAGTTAGCATCGTCCAAATTTGCTACCAGCTGTCCATCTTTCATGCTTTTAAAGTGCCTTTCCCACCCAGAAACGTTAGCATGGTTGTTAGGGTTTGTTAGATCATTTAACTGTGAGTAGAGAGCAGATAAAAGTTAGGAAGAAAGAGGAGTTTGGTGACAAATGTGCTCAAACAGTAATAGTTGGGTTGTCACGAGCACTGAAGTTAGCCAATGTTTGATTTGTAGAAGTCAAAAGAGTTCAGTGTGGGGGGTGCTTGATATTTGGGAGACTTTATATAGTTCTTGCCCAGATATAAACCAGTGAGGAACAAATGGACGCAGTGGAATTTGTGAGAAACTCGCCAATGGAAGGCACTAGGACTCCAAACCTGGAGAAAACAGTGGGTTGCCTAGAAGGGGAAGAAGTGACAAATGTGGGGAAATTAGACCACTTGGAGTATTTAGTGGTGTCCCTTATGGGGAGTGAATAGGACATTAGAGGATTAATGTATGTGGGTCCAAATATTGGGGGAAGAGAGCAAGAAAGCGTTTCCAAAGTGACCATAGGGGAGCGCTCTGTGCAGTGTGATCAAAGAAGCGATTTGAGCAGCTAAAAAATATGTAATAAAGTGTGGGACCCCCAAGCCACCTTGTATTCTGTGTATGAGCATAGTATGTTTTGAGACCCAAGGTTTTTTCTTGGCCCAGACGAATCTCAGAACATACACTATATTGCCAAAAGTATTGGGACACCCCTCCAAATCATTGGATTCAGGTGTTTCAATCACCTTCATGGCCACAGGTGTGTAAAATCAAGTGCCTAGGCATGCAGACTGCTTCTATAAACATTTGTGAAAGAATGGGTTGCTCTCAGGAGCTCAGTGAATTCAAGTGTAGTACCGTGATATTGCTACCTGTGCAATAAGTCTATCTGTGAAATTTCCTTGCTACTAAATATTGCACGGCCAACTGTTAGCGGTATTATAACAAAGTGGAAGGAGCTGGGAACAACAGCAACTCAAAGTGAATATGGCGGCACGGGAGAGTGTGCAGTAAGCACTCTCCGCTAGCCTCCCCTCGTCTATCCTCCCCATGAGTCCCCATGTAGAGAGACCAGCTGCACCGAGGGGGTGCGGAGAGACTCACCCAGCTGGAGAGGGTTCGCGGAGCCCCGGAGACGGTCGGACTGCCAGGCCACAGGAGAGAGCCGGGAGAAGGACGCCTCGGGGTTTCCTCTGACGTCCTGCGGCGGCTTCGGAGGAGGAGTGGAGTTGCCAGGGAGACGGTCGGACTGCCGGTCAGACTGCCTGGAGCCAGGAGAGAGCCGGCTTAGGAGGAGGAGGAGGAGTGGGGTTGCCAGGGAGACGCCTGTGAGACGGACAAGGCAGTGGAGCGGCGCCGACACGTGGGGCAGCCGTGGAGGAGCTCTGGGAGATCCGGGTGTGGGAGAGATTGGTGTCCAAGCAAGTAGGAGAAGTGGGGGAGGTGAACCAGCATACTGCCCCCACATCACACCATATCCATACCATCTTCCTGAGCCCTCTAATCTCCCTACCATCCCTACAGCCTTACACCACTGATACAATACGATTAACCTTCAACCTCTATACCTCTCCCAATCTCAATTCTAACATTTACCAGCATACCACCTCCAATCTAAGGAGGTATCTGATGGGAAGACAAGTGATTTTGAGTTATTTGAGACCCAAGGAAACCCCTTAAGAGGATACAACTATAAAGGAGGACTGCTTCTGGAGTGATATTCCAACGTGAAGGGTGAGTGACGACCATGGGTTTTCCTGCAGGTCCTCTTCTACACTCTTTATATATTGGACCTGTATATTGGAGCTTTATATACATTGATTCCTCGTATTAGACCTTCAGATGCCTGCAGTAAGACATTGTATTAAAAATATACAATCTTAAAATAAAAGTAATAAGGGATTCCTAGGGCGGGTCTGAAGATCGAGAGGAGTAAGAGTCCAGGAGATCTGGAAATAAGAGTTACAGGTTCAAAAACAACATGAAAGGTAAAAATACCAAAGGGAGTGGACCTAAGAACTCCCAAACTGGTACGATTAAGAAGTATGTGTCACAAGGAAATGTTACCCCAGAAAGAACTCAGGGAATAAGTGAAAAAAGTGAATTGGAAATAAGTTTGGATAATAGCCCGAGACTTTCCTTGGGCCCGGTATATAATAGTCAACAAGTAATGGAAGGCACTGACCCGAGAGATCTTGAAAGAGATATGCAAATACCTAATGAGAAAGAAATGGCGGAGATGTTTAAAGGCCTGGAAAAATCAATGAAGCATGAGATGGGGATAATTCGGGAAGAACTGGGACAATTGTTAACTAGGGTGGAGGAAATGGACGAAAAAGTTAAAACTTATAACCAAACCATCCCAAAAATTAGAAAAATGGATACTAGAAGACAGAAAAGAACAAAAGAGATTGCTTTATATGATGGAAGAACAAGAAAATAGAGAAAGGAGAAATAATCTTAGAGTAAGAGAAGTCCCGGAACTGTTACAGGGGGCAGATTTAAAAGGCTTAAAAGAGCTAACTGGCAAAATTTTGAACTCCATAGTGGATAAATCTGACGAGGAGATGTTTAAATTGGACGGAGTGTACAGGATTGGGAAGTATCAACAAGAAAAAGGGATAGAAAAACCAAGAGATATAATTGTTAAATTCCATAACTACGGAGATAGAGAAGAGATATGGAAAAAGATTAAAGGAAAAACAAATGTTACATATGGAGGGAAAAATATTCAAATTTTTGCAGATTTAACACCAGAGACTCTGAGAAGGAAGAGATCACTGAAACCCCTACTAGAAGTGATGAAAAAACATAATGTGAAATACAGATGGGGCCATGACACAAGCTTAATCGGGTGGAGGGATGGAATTACAGCTGTCTTAAGATTTCCGGAAGATATGGAAGATTTCTGTGATAAACTTGGACTGCAGAGACAAGTGATACCGGGGTGGGAAGTGGAGGAGGGAGAGCTGGACACTTGTAGGCTAGGAAAATGGCAGCTGGTTAAAAGAGGAAATAGAGAGTCAATAGATAAGGGGACACCGGGGAGGAGGGGGGGAAGGTGAGCGGTCATAGGCAGAGTCGAACCCCTATAGAGGGATCAAAGGTGGAACATGATCCAAAGGCATAGGAGGCCTGGGGGGGGGGGGGGGAGGGTTAGGGAGGGAGGGGTTTTAGGGGTAACACTCTGCATGATAGAAAAAAAAAAAAAAAAAAAGAAAACAGAGAGATAAAAATAGATGGAAGATCTCCAATTTATAACATATAATGTAAAGGGATTGAACTGTCCTGGGAAGAGATTTAAATTATTCAAGGAGCTACAGCATAGAGAAGCTTCGGTAGTATTTTTGCAGGAGACACACCTAGAGATTAAGTCAAATATAAAGTTGTACTCTAGAAATTATCCAACATGGTTTTATGCGGATTCCCCAATTAAGAGAGCTAAGGGAGTAGCAATAGGGTTTGCAAAAAAATATAATGTTGGAGATAGAAGAGAGAGAGGTAGATCCTGAGGGGAGATTTTTGTTCTTGAAGGGTAGACTACAAGAGCAAGAATGTACAATTGCGAATATCTATTGCCCAAACAAAAGACCAGAAACTTATCTGAAGGAAGTCTTTGGAAAACTGATGGCCTTTAAGAAGGGACGCTTGATAGTGGCAGGGGATTTGAATTTTTGTATGGACCCACAAATGGATACGACCTCTTCTGTGCAACGAGACGGAGGTAGAGCTCTGAGAATCCTGAAGAGGGTGATACATGAGTGTCAACTGGTGGATATTTGGAGAGTGATTCATGGAAAAGAGAGAGATTATACCTTCTTCTCCAAAGCACATGAGATGTACTCCAGATTGGATTATATATTGATAGATCATCAACTTATAGAATTGGTGGAGAAAGTAGAAATAGAGGTGATGTCCCTTTCAGATCATGCCCCTGTAACAC